TATATATATGCTTTTAAACTTTTCCATTATTTGTTGCATCTCAGTGCTGCTGATCTTCTGCAGCCTTTTTGCAGCCTATGCACATGTACTCCGGCACGGCTCCATTGGCTTCATTGCATTTTCTAGGGTGGGTTTCATTATGGCAACTACAGTGAGTCATACCTGTAAAATGTGTGTTGTAACCTCCACTGCAGTCTCCATCAGAAGTCTGTGTATAAAGCTTACAATACAGGAGCACAGTTGGGAGAAAGTTTTGTTAGCCTATACCAAGAAGTGCTTGAACAAGGACTTTAATGTCAGGGTCACCAGGTATTCCTTAAGGCAGCCTTTCTCAACCAGGGTGCCATGGCACCCTAGGGTGTTGTCTGACTTTGTCAGGAGTGCCTTCAAATTTTCAAGCATTTCCATGGTGGGCCAGTTACCAGAACCATTGAAACCCATGATGCTAATCCAGGGTGGGCTGCATCCAGGACCTCCTCCAGCATGCAGATAAGGACAGAAGTCCTCCCAGGTCTGGACTTGCTCCATGTCCCACGCACCACCTGGACTGTTGTGAAGATTATAAGGTAGGACTCTGATGTGAAGAGGCACTGAAAACTCTAATGGGAAATGGGGAATTGGGGATTTTGATAGGAAAGGGGTGGAGGGACCATGGAATCTGGTGAGAAAGAGGGGACTGGCGATTCTGATGGAAATGGGGGACTGTGGACTCTGATGGGAAATCGGGAACTCTGATGGGAAAGGGGTGGAGGGACTGTGGACTCTTATGAGAAAGAGGGTACTAAAGACTCTGATGGAAATGGGGAGACTGTGGACTCTGATGGGAAAGGGGGGACTGAATACCCGAACTTAGCCGGCAACTGATTGGCTCTGTTCATAAGAAGATTTTCCAACCGGCTCCACCCTCAGCTGATTGAGTGATGCCACTGGGATGGGTGCCGACAGCTTTAGTCATTGTGTTGCCTTGAGGAAGGGACCCTGCACGGCCCTGAAATGTTGGCTTTATGACTTATATGACATATTTGCAATATACTGGATTAAGTTTGCATCCTGAACTTGTGTGTGCTAGTGTACCCATCTTAAAATTCTTTGAGGATTTACACAGTACTATCCATTGTTTTCACTATGAGGACCACCTTATTTGAACAGGTCACAGTGCTGTAAGGAGTGCAGGAGGTCCCTTCATCACAGAACTGGGATCCAGTCGGGCACATGTTGATCGATAGAGATATCAGCATGAACAGGGAGATGGAGAGATAACATCACTCTATTCCTTAAAGTGAGAAAGGTGTCATCTGCCTGACTTTGCTATGTGACAGAGTTGTATAAACCTTAGGACTGGATTACATTTGGAGGGTTATTCACTATGGAGCTGAAGGATACAGCCGTAGCTTCGGCTGATCCTTCGGCTCTCTTCAGGAACCGAAGGGCTGCTGTATGGGCTATCCACAACAGCCCGTACAGCAGCCAAAGGCAGTCGAGCCAAAGGCATATGCTTCAGCTCGAATAAGCCGAAGTCACAGCCGAAGCGTGGAGAGAGGTCGGCCGAAACTGACCGATCTCCACACAAATGAAAGCTGGGATCACGGCTGGCTCCGCCCAGTTGTACTGACAGATCAGCATCCCCAAATGACCTGGGGACACTGCTCTGTCATTAAACAATAACAACTGAGCAGAGTCGGCCGGCTCTGCCCAGTTGTTATTCATTAGCTGGGACCTGCTAGAAGACTCTGGCCAATAGGAAACAGTTGGGCAGAGCTAGCTGCATCTTTGACTGCATTTTTAAAAAAAATTTCCTTTTTCCTTCGAACTCCTTCTGCACTTCGCCTCACTCGAACATGCAGAGCATGTTCGGCTGACTGAACGCAGCCGATGTACGGCTGATTTTTACCGATGTACGGCTGATTTTTACCGATGTACAGCTGAAATCAGCCGTACAAGGCTTAAGTGAATAGCCGAACAGCGTTTGACTTACTTTACATCGGCTGGGTTATTCACTCGGCTGCCTTCAGCAGCTTTGTGAATAACCCCCTTGTTGTTTTTCTTTTCACCCATCTTTGTAATCAGCTTTGCTTGCTTTAATTTATTATTACCACAGACTGACAGTATTAACATTAAATAGCTATAGATTAAATCATTAAAACAACATTACTTTACCAAATGGACATTATATCCGTTTTATTTCAATTTAAGGGGAATCTGTGTATTTATGGTGTGAAATCTGGTTTATTAACACAGCCACCCAAAGCTGTTCATTTTAAGGTTCACTGATCGTGTTTTCTTAGCTTGCATTTCTGCAACTTGCTTCCCCTTGCTTTATATTCTTTGGCAAAACATAGAGAAAAAAGCTGATTGTAACAAAATTTGTAAAAACACATGTGAAAATTGTTCCTATTCCATGTAGTGCAAGTGCTCAGGTACAATAATATTATGCTTTGTGAAGTGATTTATGTTGGACAGAGTTCAACACTGCTATATCTGATTTTCCTGATCACACAAAATTGAACAATTAAATCCACAAGTGAATAGTTAATTACTGTTTATGCAATGGTGACATAAACCTGGCGTGGCAACAGTGAAAGGCACGGCACATAAAACGGATATTAAAAATAAAGGGAAGAAAAAAAATTATATGTGTAATTATACATTAACAAGTAATGCATTTGCTCTGTACCATAAGATAACAAGAATAGTTCAGTTCTGTACAGTGTTATATAATGAAACTCATATTAAAAATATTGTAATGCATGTCAAGTAAAAAAAAAAACAAACATATGCAGTAGATCTTCGCAATACGTGCACCTTTTCTTATGTTTTATCCATTTAAAGATCTTCCAGGTACAGAAAAATACCTGTTGATCTGCCAGAAATGCACTCAGCTCTTCAGCCCTTTGTTGGCTAACCCTACACACAGCTTTTTTTGTGGAGTGTGGTCAGCCCTGTCCAATTGTCTTTTGCTAAACTACCAAACAGCTCCTACTCTAAGGCTGCCAATACACCTTACGAATATCGGCCGATTTTCGTATGCGATCACGCTTTCATCCGATATTCTTCAGGTTGATGGGTAGTGTACAACCGCAAATACTGTACAATCGATCAACTCTTGACTAACCAGCAGGTTAGAAAACTTTGATCGATCGTACAATTTTTGCTAGGTTGGTGGCATTTCCCTACGTCAAAATTTGTTCGATTTACACTGCACATGCACAGACGAAAATACATGCAGTTGATTACCGCAATTCGTCCAGGTGCTTTTCTGTTAATTACAGCTGATTCAACCTTGCGATAATCGTGGCAGGATGGGGCCGCTGTACGAAAATCGTACGATGGTTCGATCATCGGACAAAGAGTTTCGTCTCATGATCGCAAGGTATATGCGTAGCTTTAGATTTCTACAACATAAAGGCTAATCATTGTGTATTACAAGATAACAACTAGGAGGTCTAAACAGATGCTTCGAGATAACACAGGAAGTGTGCACAGGATGCAGGACAGCTCTGAATTTCTGACAAGATCAACAGGTATTTTTTTGCACTTATCAAATGGATGCAACAAAATGCTTCCAATAGTATATTTAACAGACCAAAGGGGAGCAAGTAAAATAAGTTCATGGTTAGGGTTTCCCTGGTTCAATTTCCAGTCAGGGCACCATCTGTAAGGAGTTTGCATGTTCTCCCTGTGCTTGTGTGGGTTATATATACATTTCCCATGGACACTCTGGTTTCCTCCAACCTCCTTAAGACATGCTGGAAGGTTGGAGGAAACCAGAGTACCCAGAGAAAAGTTATATATAAACAATTGGTTCATGTGCCAACAAGTAACATGCTGATAGAAAAAGAAAAGCAAAAGAGAGATGAGCTCATCACTGCGCTGCTTCTCCTTTCATTGTCCAGTCACAGGCAAAGGCGGGTCCCTGACAGATGTGCTCTGAGGAAGTGAATTGAATGACGCTAGATTTTATTATTGCAGCAAAAGCAGATTTTATTCAATTTCAATCATTTCTATCTTGTTTTTTTCATGGCCTGGATGGGAAGGGGGTTTAACACCGCGGATGTCAACTGGTTAAGTCAGGATCAGGATGACACATCTGGAGCTTATGTGTGCAACGCAAAATTCCTGTATATTAATAAAAATTCTGTTTGGGAATCACTAGGATATATGTCAGCAATACCAAATCCAAATGCTTTTTTGTTATTAAAAGAGCCATGCAAGTAATTAAAGGAAAAATCACAAGTTACAGCCTAAGTTGTCTATTCAACTACAATTTACAAAAAAAAAAATAGCTTCTAGTAGCTCCTATATATTCATCTTCACAGTTTCCTGTTAATGTCTGTTAATGTCCAAATCCTGGTCAATGGCATGTCTAATGACTTTTTCTATGTAGTTTTCTACAATGCACAAACAAGGGTACAGTGTACAAAATTACAAAATGTATTGATGTGTGTAAAGCACTGTTTTATATAATCTATATTACAGCTTGGCAAATAATCAGATGCAAACGTATTACCAAGATCCTGCTTCTGTATTTACAACCCCAATTCCAAAAAAGCTGGGACGCTGTGTAAAGTCTACATAAAAACAGAATGCAATGATTTGCAAATCTCATAAACCCATATTTTATTCACAATAGAAAATAGAAAACATATCACATGTTTAAACTGAGAAAATTGACCATTTTAAGAAAAAAAGAAGGTAATTTTAAAATTGATAGCAGCAACACGTCTCAAAAAAGTTGGGATAGGGCAACAAAAACCTGGTAAAGTAAGTGGTACTAACTAGTGATGGTGACTCCCGCTGCAGAATGGCATTTTGACAGATTCCGGCAATATATAAACAATTGGGCGGAGCTAGCGGTGACAGCTTGCTGCGCCCAACTGTTTACAGTTGTATGGCATCTGTCAGGTGAGCCATGATTGGGCAAAGTCATCATAACTTTGCCCAATCATGGCTCTTCCAGAGTACTGGGCCCTGATTGGGCAAAGTCTTGCACCTGACTTGTGGTCAGGTGCAAGGCTTAAGCCAATCAGGCTCACAAGGCACTGTACGGTGCACTGTGTCTTGTGGGGTTCTCGGCGGGTGAACAGCCTGCCGAATGAACTGCCGATGTTCGAGTCGAACTCATGCTCAACTCGAACATCGAGCCCATCCCTAGTACTAACCAGGAATAGCTGGAAGAACCAATTAGGTTATTTGGCAACAGGTCAGTAACATGATTCGGTATAAAAAGAACATCTTAAATAGTTAGAGTGTCTGAGGAGTAAAGATGAGCAAAGGTTCACCAGTTTGTGAATAATGTTCACCAGTTTGTGAATAATGTTCCTCAATGTAAAATTGCAAAGACTAAAGGCAGTCCGATGAAATGTGTGACTTTTTTGAGCAGGCAGTATATGTAATTTAGCCTGTAAGGACTTGTTTAGTAAGTTTGGATTCATCTCACCTGTATCTTAGGCCTCCACTATTGATGTTGCCATATTGTTCTTTTTTTGTTATAAAATTAATTATTACAGCAATAAATGTTAATTTCAGGTTAAAGTTACACAAACAACTGAAGGTTGTGATGAACCACAGTTAATTAAAACATTGGAAAAAGGAGATTACTTTGGAGAAAAGGCCCTAATTAGGTGAGTGAATTGTAACTTTATTGATACTTTGTTTAAAGCTAAAAGACAGGGGTTTAAAAACAAACAAACACATTAATGAATGCAGTTGTGTATTTAGTTAAAATGTTATTAAATGTGTTTTAAATGCAGTTGGTATAAATTTTCTAAAATGTACTTGCTTTCAGCCTCTTGTAGTCCCTTGTATAGCAGAACTCAGGCCTGGAGAGTGAAGTACAACACTAGGAACCAACCAGTTGTGCTCCATATCAGGGGCGTAACTAGAAATAACAGGGCAGCATAGCAAAATTTGGTATGGGGCCCCGTGATTTCTAGTTATACCCCTTGCAGAGCCCACTTGAGATCCCACACAGCCCACCTGAGGGTGACCCTGCAGAGCCCACCATAGACTCTCAATGGTGGGCTCTGCAGGGTCACCCTCAGGTGGGCTGGTCGCACTCATTACCTGTCCGCCTCCTTTTCCTCCACCGTCGCTGATGGGCCCCGCCTCCTCCTCCATCGCTGGGCCCACCTCCTTCTCCGTCACCGGGCCCCACCTCCTCCCCTGCTGCCAACCACGGGCCCCGCCTCCTCCTCCACTGCCGGGTCCAGCCTGCTCTACCGCCGCTGCTGGCTCTCTTTGACTCTGTGGAGAGGAACGCGCTGCTGCACAGATTACTGTCAGTGAGCTGAACAGCAGCACATTCTTCTTCAGAGCCGCCAGTTAAAGCCACCAGCAGAGGATGCCATAGCGACCCAGACGGCCCGCACAGCATCTGGCCGGGCCCCACTGTGCCCCGGACACCATAGCCATGGGTCGCTATGGTGATTGTTACGCCACTGCTGCATATACAAATCTACGTAGGAGAACTTTCTACGCTAAATCTAAATCCCTAAATAGCAGCTTGCATCTAGTATGAAATGAAATATAAAAATGTTTTACATAAAAGGAATGTACAGCCCTCTAAAGTACCTATTACTACTACAGGTACTTACTTAACTACAGGTCCTTATCATCAGGACCGTGAGCGTCGAACAGTGTGCTGCTTACCGGGGCGCGTGTTCGGCACGTTGCGGAACGAATTGACAGATTACTAGATGGGGTTGGGCACAACCCAGTTGTCATGGTAACACATCGGCACCAATGACAAAATAGGAGGTAAATGGAGTGTCCTAAAGAAGGAGTTTAGGGACCTAGGTGCTAGGCTGAAGGAAAAGACCTCCACGGTGGTATTCTCTGAGATACTGCCAGTGCCACGAGCCACTCC